GATAATTATAAAACAAAGTAATTCTCGTTGCGTCGTTCCCGGCATCGACAAGTCCTTAGCGCTACTTTTGCAAGTCGATAAGTTGCTCATTATTCAAGTTACTTTACATATAGTTAATAATTAATACTCCATCCGCCACGTTATCCAACTTTGAAGCGTGCGCGCGTGACCGCGCGCGTGTGCGTGGTAATTGTAAATGAAGTTGAACAAGCAATAGGTTCATTAAACGGTTCATTAAACTCTATTTGATTGTATTGCTCGGTGTTTACGCCGTATGTTAAATCAACGCAACATTGTGGCGGGTAAATGTCAGTTGCATTAAATTATGACAGACTGCGCTGACATCCGACCGTCGGCGTGACGGCGCCTTTGGCGTTTTTTAATGCGGCCGATTATTCGTGTGCACACTTTTCGCGCGCTCGCATGGTGGGGCTCTTACCATTCCAGATACTGTCGTCGTCCGGTCGACACGTAAATCCGCGTGTCGCCACTCTTCCGCGGGGAAAAACTTCACGTTGATATGCGCGCGCGGGTGGAGTTATCGTGGCAAACAAAGGAAAGCAAACTTGATAACAATGTTAGCCACGAACAAGCGGAAGAGTTTCGCTTGCGCGCGCGCGCGAGCAGCTACATTGTGAACTTGCGTCCTGTAAGAAACAGCGAATACAGTTGAGAAAACATCGGATTAATTAAACGACGCTTTAAACTTGTAATCGTCGCATTAATCCTCTTGCTGCGGAATCGTGTTGCCGCGAGACGGGATTTACCCGCCGCGGAATTTTGTGTCGCGAAAAACGCACTCGCATGTGCTCAATCAATTTCCTTTTCGCCTTTTTTTCTTTTTCTCTTTTTTTTCAAATAGATCTTTTGCATGTGCGTCATTGCATCGTTTACAAACTATCGCGTCCACGCGTTGGCATATCCTTTAACCGAATTCCAAAACAAAAAGGATCTTGTTTCCAGTCCAGTATACATTCGTTTGTTTATTTGTATATTTCCTTATGTCTCAAAAATCGTTAGAAATATTGAGATACATTTTTTTCTACCTTATCCAAAATATATTATCTACATAGTTTTTACATTAATATCATTATATCGGTTTGTCTGGATGACTTGGAAATTGGTTAATTCTATTATTTTCTCAAAAATCCGAGAACATCACGAAATACAAAACGAAACTAATATTTATTATTAACTATTACCAATTTAAAAAAAAAACTTTCTAACTCATTTAAAAAATAAACTTTTAAACAATTAAACAAAGTGTGAAATAAAAATATTTTGACAATAACAAACTGCCTTAGGAAACTTCAGAAATCCTAAAAAATATGAAATAATTTTTACTCAATATTTCTACGTATAATCAGTTGCAAATAAGTTTGTACACTTTATCGAATAAAGTTGCAACGTTCCAAGTTGCTAGAATTGAAAGTCCCTGCTAACGCGTATGCGCAGAAATCGGTTACGACAGGAGCCGAAATGATAGTACAAACTGACATTTGTGAATTATTTCATCCTCGTTAGAGTTGTTGCGCGCGCGCGTGAAATTTTTTAAGACGGTTTATTTTTTGTTATAATCGGTTACCGATATTCAGAACGCCAATCGAGTTGTATCTATTTTGCATTCGCAGTTCAACTTCAGCTTTGGAAATCTCGCCGTGATCAGCGCACAGCGCATCAGTTCGCATCCACATCTCATTGAAATTCATGATGTTTCAAAACTGGACTTACGTAACTTCCTGAATAAGTGACTCAATCTACGAAGTTGCACGTAACGGTGCGAATTGTACAATATAAAATATTGTACCTGCGTAAAACGCTTCGAGAGCGATATGAACTTCAACATTAAGCAAAATTTCGACATGCACAACACTTATCTACCGTTTCGTATAAATATTGCAAAATTATAAAGAATTATAAATGAAAGAATTATAAAAGAAATTTTTTAGACGTGGATGAAACTAAACTTATCGGTCAATATTGTATTACAGCGTGTTATTTAAAGTGGTCTTTGTGTGAAGTGTGACTTAGCGTGAAGTATAACTGATAGTGTTAATATACAAAATTGATGTTGCTTTTCAAATATTATTAATCTCCGAAATAATAAAATTTGTCAAGATATAGTTAATAAGATATGTTTATTGCAAACTATGAACAGGAAGATACGATTATCTTGCATAACATAAGTAAAACAAACAAAAGAAGTAACGTAATATTATGATACGAAATCAATGTTAATTCTTAAGAAAAGCGGAAGGAAAGAGGTAGGGAATTTCGTTCTCTCTAACGTCTGATTCCTGATCGGGATTTTCTTCTCTCTAACTGGTCTTTCTAAAAAGTGTCTTTTGTTCGAGGAAAAAAAAAAAAATGAAAGGATACTAAATGTTATGTGAAACTGTTAACAAATGACACATAAATCTAAACGTCAAGCTGGAGTCGCGTTTAACCCACCTTTTCGTTATTACAGCGAAAAGGTGAGTTAAACGCGACTCCAGCTTGACGTTTAGATTTATGTGTCATTTGTTAACAGTTTCACATTTAGTATTCTTTCATTTCCTTTTTTTTTCCTCGAACAAAAGACACTTTTTAGAAAGACCAGTACGTTAGGGAGAACGAAATTCCCTACCGCTTTTCCTCCGCTTTTCTTCCTAAGAGTTAACATTGATTTCGTATCATAATATTATGTTACTTCTTTTGTTTGTTTTACTTATGTTATGCAATCATATCTTCCTGTTCAAATGTAGTTTGCAATAAACAGTATATCTTGACAAATTTTATTTAAAATTACTGCTAATGGAAAAAGACTTAACAACGCATGTCGGATTAAATTGGAGTAAGTCGTTCGATATCTGGGACAAGAACAATGAAAGCAGAAAAGCGTAAACAGTGTGTGTTGGCAAACAGTATAATTCATATATGCCTTTTTCTAACGTATATTGAACTTTCTGCAAGAAACAGCTTAAAGAAAATATATTCCATAGGAAATGTAGTATATTATTTATAAACAATCTTTGCGCATTTGCGCTCTGTTTTTAATGTCCGCATGCTTTTCATCCGACGTGAGAAGCCATTTGCTCGGCAGTATCATCGATCCTAAAGAAAACTCTCGTTGTATTATTATTATTAAGATTCTTGAAAAGAAGCGTTGAAGTTGAAAATTTCCCTCTGAAGGCCGGCAAAATCTTGTTTATCCCCGCTTTTATCTTGTCACGCCGAAATTAGATGACACTAATGCTTTTACTTTGTACAATTGCGAATACCGTGCCGCCGCTACTGCCGTTCGTCCTGCATACCTAATTAAGGTGCAAATAAGCGTACCGTCGCTTTGTCCTCGAGATCAACTAAGGAAAGGAGCGTGCAATGGCGAAGCGCTGAAGCGACTTATCAGTAGTCGCTGTCGAAAGAAATTTCAAAATTCTGGATTTACATCACGACACATATGATACTTATTTACAGACAGGTTTGCACAATCGTCGTCGAAGGTTGGCACATATTTTTTCTTCTTTTATCGACACATTTCAGCACACAACGCGACATCCAATAAGAAAATCTATCTTCTGGGAATTTCTCACAAAGCAATTTTTCCATTGGTCCGTGTTTCGAACGCGTCCCGAAACGCATCGAAAAAAAAAAAGAAATTGTCTGTCAAAAATTGTCTGTGTGTGTATGTGTGTGTGGTCGGGATTGCTCTCTTTAATTATGCCGGATCAGCAATCCCGGAGAGAAATTAGATCCAACTCGTACACGACAAAACTGTCGCGTCTATCTCGACTGCAAAAACCAGATCGGTGATATTATCGATATACGCGTCAGCCTCGTATCGTGGCGGCCGTGGAGAATAATGTTTGTCCTAACAGCGATGTTGCGTTCGCCATTGAACTACTATTGACCCAATTGTGATTCTATGTTGTCACGACTTTACATCGATATCGCCGAATGACGGTTGGTTGCTGATATCGCCCCAACTATTCTATCGATTGTCACTCTACGTTGGCACTCCACATTGGACGTTTCCGCGTAAAGTGAAAGAGTAAAAATCAATTCAATTAAATTCGCCCGGTGTTTGAGTTGAAACGATCATCGTGCCGCGTCGAGAAGTGGAACATTTTTAGGTTTATAGCATTAAACTCGCCGCAATTTTATTCCCGACGGTATACCCTCTCTTGGCCGCGCGAAATCGAATGTTGCCAATTAATAAATGATATCCAGTACATTTTCATTGATTAGCGTTACACGCTCGCAACATTAATATATAAAAGTAAAATTCGATCATGTATCATACGTTGATATTGATTATCCTGTCATCGGCACTAATTAATGAGGGTAATCTGATGCAATGATAGTGCAGTGTTGTAGAGAATACGCGCTGTTTGTGACAATAAATATGACAACAAGTGTAATTACATTACACTTACATAAAAACCGTTAACTCGTCGATTCATAAAAATAGTTAACGAAAATACCGACTTTTCTCTCCATTGCATCGAGAAAATTGTTGTGCCGTAATAGAAGATAATATATGAATATATTATTATAATATATGTGCGACAGTGTATGCAAATTATAATAATATACGAATATGCATGTAAAATAAAATTGAATTAATAAACGGTGAAACGTCGTTAACAACATGCGCTCATTTTGTGATCGACTTCGTGTAATTTGTAAACAAAACTATAATAATGTATCAAAATATCATCTTCATAAAGTCAATGATATGATTAGCAGAAAAATTCAAACGTTTTTCGAGTCATTGTATTGATGTATACAACTTCTTAACACTAGAAACATCGAACGGTTATTTTCAGCTGTTTTTATTTTTCAATTAAATATTCTGTGTAAAAGACGAGATTTTTAATTTTCTGACTTTTCATTAAATACCACCTTTATTCTAATAAAGCATTTAATTGAAATTCTGTCTCTAACAGAATATTAATTTATAAAATGATTTGATGTTTCCAGTGTAAGATGTTGCAACGAACTTTTATAACGAGCCTTACCGTGCCCTCTCCCAGGTTATGAACGACGCAAGGCATCATGGCGGTGGAACCCGATTGCGCCGAAACCGATGTTGAATTTTCCGTGCCGAAAGTCATCGGCAGGGTTGGCGGCAGATCGACGTCCAGCGGCTTTCCCGTCGTGCCGTCCAACGAGTTCATGTTAACATCGACTATTTCCGCTGTCACCGCAGCTGGATATTCTAAAATGAATCGTAAATTATCGATTACTCCTAATAAAACTTGGAGTGATTTTTAATCCGCGGCCAGAGAGAGAGAGAGAGAGAGAGAGAGAGAGAAAGAGAGAGAGAGAGAGAGAGAGAACGGATGGCATATTGCATGCGACACGGATACCGGCTGTTTTTTAGGATACGTTAAAAAACAATAATATTATAGTAATGACGCGGCAAGAATAAATATTCAAGCATGCGCTGGCAATTAAGTGAATTACTGACCCGAAGTGTATAGTTTGCGGTCTTAATAAGTTTTTGTTTAAATAAATATTGACCCGACTCCTTGCTAATCGCATGACTGATAGAAAAAGTATACAGATTATTCGATTATAAAGCCAAATTGCGTTTATGGATGTAATTATATCGGTCAAATGTACACTCGTACGAACAAACATATTTCTTATTAACTTATTTGAACAAGATGGAGCATACAATTCATTCGTTCGGGCGGTTTCTTTTTTCCTAATGTTTAACTTCCACTATTCTGTAGTTACTGTATACTCCAGAAATAACTTCCAAACGTGGAGTAACACTGCATTTTTATTTACAAAGATAGAAGATTCTCGAGTAAAAATAATATTTCATCTTAAAGTAAAAATTATTGATAATTCTTGATAATGCAATAATAATAATGAATAATACTATTTTATGGAAAGTTTTGTTTTTAAAAAATGGTATTGCGCAGCTCATATCTTTTTCATATTTTTAAAAACATATATATTATTTTGTAATTGTAAATATAATAACGTTGGTGTGCTCGTCACGTGTACACAATAATAAAATACTAACTTTTCCTATATTTACATTCGACGCGTTTATTTTGACGTTAAATTACCGCGAATATTATTTATTCATAAAGAACATCGTCATTTAGTCAACGAATATCGTATTTTCTAATATTGCAGCGAAAATTACGAAGATATCAAAGATAAATTTTCAAGATATATATATATATATATATATATATATATATATATATATATGAAAAAAATATTGCAGTAAAAATTATAATAAAATTTTTATAACTTTTAGTCATGCAGAATTATAGCAAAAATTACATTATATTATATATTTGTTTCAAATATATAAATACATATGTTTAAAAATGTTATATATGTTTGACAAAATTATTATAATTACTTGAATATTTTCTTTTTTATATCTCATTTATCAAAAAAATAGACCGTCAAATTTATCATTTTTATATTACATGATTTCAACATAGCTTTACAAAAAACATTCTGAAAAGAAGTATAATTTCAACGTAATTTTTATTACAATGTTTTTTCTACAATTATTCTAGAAATTTATTTAAGCAGGCATTACAGTGTTAAGGATGACAAGTGTTATGAATAACAAAAAAGAAATTATTTCGATATTATATACATTTCCAATCGACAAACTGATTGTAGTAAAGCCCCATCCTCCTCCCTAGCGTCTCCCTATTTATACTCAAGTATTATATATATATATATCCAAATATTATTTTCCGATAATATTATTGTGTGAACAATTTATCTATTGTCATGTCCCAATTTACATTATCACAACCCGTTCTGCCGTTAAGTTTCGAACCGATATAATTAGAGTCTTTCACAGATATTTCGAGACAATCAGTTACATTGATACTATATCCATATACATGCTCTATGATATTATTTCCGGCTAGTGACCAACAGTGGCAATCTGCCGCGTATCTGCCGCACACGTAATTTTCCCTGAAATGTAACGAGTCCAGTGCCTTATCGTGGATGTTGAAGCCAGCCGAGTTTTCGGTGCCGGAGGTCATCGACTATCCTCGAGGTAACTGCCGTTAGATGCGCCGAGAAATTGGCACTAAATCACGATGGCCTTTGCGAGGTGGAACTTTGTAACAATGTAAGCTCACCTGCGCATGAATACAAGACAAACTTCTCCTCGCTTTCGCATTCTATTTTTCCTGCGGTGTCTAGCCACAATATTTCAAGAAACACAAGCGACTATTCTTGCAGAGATCAGCGATAGTATAAATGAATCTCGCGTATTAGAATGATCTGTAATGCAATACGACGAATTCAATTTCACACGCGTTCGTTATTTTGTGTTATAAAAATATAAAAAATAAAATATTAAAGTATCAAAGGAGAATTATAACTATATATATCATTCGTGGAAAAAATACCACCTGTATGACCATGTGGCCAAATAAATAACTTGAGAGTTTCCATTACATTTTCAGATAACAAAATATATAAAAAAAGGCAAATTTCAGTTATTATAATTCAATTATATACATATTTTCAATTATTGCAAAAAAATAAATATAAAAATACACAATGCATGTTATAAACGCTGTACTATATTAATATATAAACGTTGCAATTGTGACGGGATAAATTCTGTTTTTCCCGCTAAAAGCTTATCTCTGATATATTCATCTTTTTCACCTTTTTAGAGGGAAATATTAAAACAGAAAACGGTCTAGATAGATACGTGCAACATTTGAATGGCTTTTTTGTTACGTTATCCACAAGCTGATACATCGCGCAATAGTTACCAAACGTACTTAAAATGATGCACACGTTACTTCCATACCCTTCTTTTTCATCATTTAAATGCGCGAAACGAATAATACGCTCGTGAAAATATATCGCTTTTTTTCTCTCCTTCCTACGCATGTCGTATCTACGTTATTTCCGTCGATCGTTCCTCACGTGTTGAAACGCTCAAGTACGGTAGAAATGTTCACGGACTGGCACGGCTAAAAAGTACTTTTCGCCCGCGCTCAGCCCATACGATCACTTTTCATCCATGAAAATTTACGGTACATTGCAAACCATGCGTGTCGCTACTCGTGACTACGCGGTTACATTGAACGCGCCATCTTGTCGGTTTAATTTTATTTTTACACAACGGTCGTGCGCAGGAAGGAGCAAGGTGGTTATCCGTCCGTGTCACGCGGATTCCCGCAAGACCGTCATTTATTTCGCCCGCTCGGAAGGAAGGAAAGAAGATACCGAGAAAAAAAGAATCTATATCCCACGCGTACAAATGTTCGTGCAGGGGGCGATCGTGGCGCGCGAGGGTAGTTGAAGTCCAGCCCAGAAAGCCTCTTAACGAGAATCCCTCCGGCGCGACAGGAGGCTTTGAGCGGGCAACCGTTAAACCTCGTTCGACCTCGTAACGACTGCTTTGATTTGACGCCTATTTTTCAAAGCCGGCATTTACCGCAGACGCGCGCGCGACGGGCGGTGAGGTGAATTCGTTAGGAGATGCCAATAGGAACTCGTCTAGACGGCGATCTTTGTTGACAAGCCGCACCGTTAACGATGAGGCGCGCTACGGCGAACGCCATTATACGGACGAATGAAAGTTAAAGAAAATGAAGCGTCAAAGCCGACGGAAACTTGCAAAAATGCGCGCCGTGTGTGTAAGAAATGTTAAATGTAGCGGGCAAACCTACGGAATTGGAATCACGCCAGCTCGCAGTGTAAAATATACAAGAAGTGTGAAGAGAGGGGGAGAGGAGGGGGAATCGGCGTAAACGTCGAAAGAGTGCGAGATAAATCGAGAACCATGGCAATCCATGTTAAGCCGCGCCATTTCTTGCCTGAAGCGTCGCAGGTGAGGTGGGATCGAGTCCGGGATGAGAAGATTGAATTTTTGAATCTTTCTCTCACACAATAACGATCGATATATCGAGACTCGAAGTTCCGCGCGACAGGATCCACGCAGATCCCCCTAAATACCCGTGCGAAATTCAAGTCGTAATATCGAGTGTCAAAGTTTCAAACTACAGCCTCGGCAAGTAATTACCACTGATTAATTGTTCAAGAATCCAACTGCGGTTTATTTACTGCCGTTGTTGTTTCGATGGCGCGTGATTGCGAATTAATGAAATGTACAATTAATTATAACGGACATGGGGATTGCATTTTAGCGTGCAAAGCGCCACGGCTGCACAGCAACGTCAGAGAATATTGTTCGCGTTTCTCGCGACGATGAAATTTCCGTGCACGATTTCCTGCGAAACGTTGCTACTCGCTCTGCCGGGGGCTTGAACAAAGCGCACGATATAGATTCGAGATATTAGCTTTGTGCCTTTTGATCTAACCTCGCACTTCTTCACTTCCCGTTTTTCACTGAACACGAAGGCGACATTTGGTGACTCGCGCCGCTTGGTTGGCTGAAAATATTTGTAAAATCGCGTCAAAGGAGGACCCGCCCTTTTGTAGCTCGAACTTCATCGCGACGCTGATCAAGATTTTATTTTCCACGAACGAAAGGCGAGAACGCAGGAATAATGAGGACACCATTATCGACACCGGAAGATCGAGTTTTTCAGGAGTGTACCAGTAAAGCTCATAAACGATGTCGACGTCCGATAATGCTCAGAAAATATTTGAATAAAGTGACTTCGTCCTCTCTACTTCTTCTTTATTACGGTAAAGTAACGCTCATATAACATCCAACTGCTATAGATCCTCTGCAAAATCGCTAGAAATTGCATGTGATATGGATATTAACCCTCTAAAGCCTAGTGTACATAATTATGTACATTCACTTTGGGGATACTCCCCAAATTTTTTTTATATTAGCAAAGTAATTGATCCTGCTCGTATAATACTATCCCATATAACATCGATCACAATTTTAGATAGAACTGTATGCTTCATTTTAACCTGTAAGATTTTCCCGCTAAAGAAACCAATATAGCGATCGTGTGCAGAGCAAAATCGTTAACGCTCGAAATTGTGTAAAAGTTTTCACAAAAAAAAAGTAAGCAAATTTTATTTCCTCAATTTTTCATTTTAAAGTGCACGATTGACGTTTTACATTTATTTTACCATGGCTATAAGATTTATTAAATTCTATAATTTTATATTGAAGCACATGTGCAAGTATGAATATATTATGATTATATATACATACATTTAGAAAACTGTATTTCTCGACGGCCACAAAACTTTTCATCAAAATTGTCTTTTAAG